AGGACAACTAAAGAAGGCCCAGCTGCCTTCTCAACGGCCTCAGCGGCCTGTAGTCACCAGGGGGCCCCCCGTGACTATCTTCTGCAGATAGTTCGTGTTGAGGCCCTGTGCCCCACTGTCTGCTCTCTTGGATCTCCCTGGTTTATCACTCGAGCTACATCAATCATCTTTGCATGCTTCCCTAGTAACAGAGGCCACAAGGAGATGGGGGCCCCCAACTCCTCGGGGTCCCCAGAGGGCCTTGGGGGCCCCCCACAGCTTATGCGCGAAGATGTTAGGAGCCAAGGGGCCCCTGGGCTGGAATCGTCTTGTGCGGAGAAGGGATCGTCTTGTGACGCGCTGGGATCGTCTGGGGATCCGGCTTTGGGTGCATTTGAATCCTTTGCTGAGGCACGTAGCGGGGGTGGCAGCAAGGTACGTGATGAAGCAACGGGGAAATATGTGTTTCAAACGTTTCGGCAGCAGCTACAGCAGCAGCTGCAGCGCGGGCAGCCAGGGGCCCGGCACCTGTCCGCCCTCGATATCGTGGAGATTTACAACAAGGCAGAGAGAAGGCCTTGGAAAAGACTGAAGGAAGGGGCAGATGATCAAGAGGCAGATGAGTCCCGCAAGCGCATTGGTGAGTTGATGCAGCTGTTGCTCTTATTACTTCTCATACACTGCCCACTCTCATGTGAATACCATGCTGCGTAGCCTTGTCAGCTGCGTCGCAGCTGCTGCTGCAGCTGCTGCTGCAGTTGTTGCTGCAATTACTTTTGCAGTCTCTGATGCACTTGCTATTGTTCTTGCTGCTGCAGTTGCTGCGGCTGCTGCGGTTTCAGCTACTGCTGCAGTTAGTTCTGCAGTTATTGCTGAAGTTGCTGCTGTACTTGCTGCTTCGCTGGCTGTTGCAGTTACTGCTGCATTTGCTGGAATTGCTTCTGCTGCTGCTGCTGCGGCTGCAGTTACTGCTGTTGCTGCTGACGAAGCATATATTTCGTCGGTGTTTCATATCGTGCCTGGCTCCCCCCTGCATCTTGTTGCTGCCCGTGTTCCAGCATATCGTATGGGGCACCTCTTCGTGCTTCATTTTATGTGTTAATAATTTGTATTATTATATATTCAATTAAATAAGATATATTTTAATCTAAACTTTTTTTAATGCAATATATATATATATATATATATATATATGTATATATATATTTGAATGGTTGATATGTTTGTGTGTTGTCTGTGAACAGAGACGGAGGCAAGTGATTTTGCACGGCTTGTGGGCCTCATATTGCAAGGAGTTGAGGCCCGAGGGCGTGGGCGGCAGCTGTTAGTACACCTCAGCGGCTTCGCTGCATCTCTGCCACTGCTGCTGCTGCAACGTGAAGAAGTGCTGCAGCTGCTGCTGCAGCACCTGCGGAATGAAGACACATACGGCATCGTGCTGCAGCTGCTGCCTGCCCTAGCCAAGGTGACCAGCATACAAATACTTTGCTCACTATAATATAAAAGAAAAATCAATCAAATAATTTATATATACAGAATAGATCCAGTTATAATAGCGATTATATCTATAGTAACAATTGCTGTATTTACTGTATCCCTCCTCTTACTCGCACTCCCTTTCTGTATGTGCCAGCTGGAGTTCATATACATTTTCCTCTCTGTATATATCTGTTGTATGAACGAGCATATTTCCAATGCTTCTTTATCGGGGTATTCTATATGCCTAAATATTTAATCAAATGTGAATAAATATATTTATAGCTGCGCGTAATACATTTGTATTTCTCTTCTTTTTCCTCTTGTGTTTGTATCTCCTCAGGACCTGCGGCAAGAGTTCCTGGGCTACTTTCAGAGATGCATCGGGGCGCTGCATCTTTTGCTGTTTGACCTGGAAAGCCGCCACGACGCCGACGGAGTTCAGAAGCTCTTTCAGTGTCTCACGCAGATATTCAGGTGTATAGACAATCATACACAAATGGGGAGAGAAGGGTCTACGGTCTACGCTCTAGGGTTTAAATTAAGGCCTAGGGTTTAGGGTCTAACGTCCAACGCTTAGCGTCTAGAGTTTAAAGTTCAGCTTGGGGGTTGGGGAGAGGAGGGGGCGTCGAAATATTAACAGAAACCCCTCTCTCTGGATGTGTACACGTTGAGAAAGAGTGGTTTGTTATTGGGGTTTAGGGCTTAGTATCCTTAAACCACTAGTTGGCGCTGCTGCCTTTCCTTGTTCGTATTTGAAGCGGTCTTGCTTAGGGTTTAAGGTTTAGGGTTTAGGGTTTAGGGTTTAGGTTTGTTTGCTGACAATGGTTCGTTCTCAGATATCTGCACAAGTACCTCGTATTGAACATGGAGGACTTTCTGGACATCATGCTGCCGCTGCTGCTGCACAGTGCGCCACCTGGGGCCTCACAGAAGCGCAAGCGGCCGCAGGCTGAAGAGCAGCAGCAGGAGCCACAACAGCAACAGCAGCAACAGCAGCAACAGCCGCAGCAGTCTGATGAGCAGCAGCTCACCAGCCATCAGTCGCAGGACCAGCACCAGGAGCCGCGGCAGCCTCCCCTGAAACGCAAGATGAAGGAGAGGCAGCAAAAAGAGTCTGTTAAACGACAGGTTCATAGGCGGCTGCGCCCCCCTCAGAAGCAGCGGAAAGATACAGCTGAGGTGAAGATCTTCGGCAGCTCGCTTATGGCCGCCCAAGCTGTTGCAACGGTCATAAGAAGGGCTGCACGAGACGAAGAAACTTTCTATGATTGTATTGCCTCCATTACGGAGTATTTTCTAGTGTACGTCTCAAGTGGCACTCATTGATATGGAGTAGTTGTCTACCACAATCGAATAGCTAGCTAGCTAGCTAGCTGGGCAGCTCACTAGCTAGCGTTGGAATGCCTTTTCATTTCGGGCGGTTTCCCTGAGAGGGGTGCTGTGATGCGTTTCTTCTGCTGTTGACGGCTTTAAGGGTTTTGCTTTCTAGGGTTTAGGGTTTAGGGTTTAGCATGCGTTTACGTTATCTTTGAGAAGGGAGTTTTCGACGTGCATTATAGCATAAGTTTCCCTCATCCACAAGCTTTGTTTTCCCCTTCTAATCTATGACTCTGTTGCCGTGGTGTGTTGTGGTTTCAGCGTTCCAGCCCCATGGCTTCCTGTGTTTGCTGCTGCCGCGTCTCGCGTCTTCTTCGAGAGTATTAGGGGGTTAGATACAGCCTTTACGAATTCCTTTGAAGGCGTATCCTGCTTCCTCGTTGCCAATGTCCTCCTTAGACAGAA